GTTTTGACTTATTATCAGCATTTTTTCCCTAGACCCTTCTGTAATGCTATAGCCATTATGGGGGAACACATACATGCTACTTGCCCCACTGTTAACACTCGGAACTACACAAGGACATGGCTGGCAGCAAAAAGTCCACCTTCCCCATCTTTCCTAAATGACTTAGGTTGTTTAATGAGCTTCTCCAGCATAAAAAGAAAAATCCTTGGATTGCAGGCAAGAAGACCTAGTGAATCAGTTCTTAAGTGTCCATGGAGTCAGGAAAGACAGATCTCCCCTCCGTAATCCCATAGTGGCAGCCAAGACCACAGAACGCATAGATGAGGTAGAAAGTTATCTTTTGGAATAAGGTGAGGAGCACAAGGCAGGTCACCATTCCTCAAAAACCTCTCCTTTCTGATCTTTCCTGCAGTCCAAAATGTTAGTATTAGAGCACTGCACCTTTAACAGTGAGGTACGTGGATTTGATAGACAGGGTGAAGTGCTGGGTGAGATAGGGTCCTCAGTAGGACAAATAAGGATTGAAAGATTAGAGGAGGGAAATTTCTATCTGGAGTGACCTGGGAGGATGGCATGGCGGTTGAGCAGGAATTGCACAGATGGTTACAGGCAGAGGGAATGCTAAGAGAAGTGTGGACATGCAGAGGAGACCAGGCCATGCATAGCCTTGATGTCAGATGGTCCAGTTAGGGCTGACTGTTCCTGAGAAAACAGAGCTCGGAGCTGGGCTTAAGGATGACAAGAGGCAGAGTGCAATGAATGGAGAGGAATCACAGGCAGGAAGATCGCCTAAGAGGCCACTGCAAAAATCTACCATAAAGAAAGAGAAAAGGGTGAGAGGGAAGGAGGGTGGGAGACAACCCCACACTGGGGTCATGGCTGGCATATCAGAGAGGGCAGTGATGGTGTGGGAGACAGGGCTGATGGGGGAATGAAAACAACAAAGAGATTGAGAAGTTGAGTTGTAGGCACCAGGCTAGGGGAAGTGCTGGGGAATATTCCAAAGAAAATGGACCATCCAACAGCAGATAGAAGTAACAGCCCAGAGCCAGGGGCTCTGAGGATAAGGAGGAGCCGTGGACAGAGAAAGGTCAATGAAATGGGTTCAGGGAGTAGGCCCTTCACCCAGTCTCCTAACTTCTCCATTACAGAGCAGATAACACTAGAAGGTACGCATGTAAGCTAGTCTGAAGCCTAGCCATTAGTACAAACTCTCCTTTCAGCCAGTAGAGGGTCCTGCCAATAAACCCCCAAGCAGCCTCTAGGGTACCTTGAATAGGGAAAGCAAAGTCGAGAGCCCAGGTTCTGCTAAGGGAGCTCAGAGATTAATGGGTAGGCCTCAGGACCATGGATGGCACAAGGGGACAGTGAACGTCCCTCCAAGTGGGCAGAAGGAGATTGTCCTGCCCAGGTGGGAAGGGCTACTTCAGAGTTATGTCCTCAGACCAGCTAGGGAGTAGGCATTGGGCAGCAGCAGAGGTGAAGAAACTTAGGATAGTCCTTCATCTCCCAGCACTTCTGTCCTAACTGAAGACTTTCTGCTTTTGCAATCTCTTTTATTTATTCATGAAGAATTATGAGATCTCAGAAACTCTGATTTAGTCAGCTTTTTCATCACTGTGACCAAATCCTGATAAGAACGACTTAGAGAAAGAAAAGTTTATTTGGGGCTCCCATTTTTCAGAGGTCTCAGTCCATAGGTGGCCAACTCCATTGCTCTGGGCCCAGTGGAGGAAAACTGCTGAGCTCATGGCTGGGTCAGGAAGCAGAAAGAGTGGAGGGTAAGGAAAGGGAGGGTCCCCAGGAGCCCCAGTGACCCACTTGCTCCAGCCATTACCCACCTACCTAAAGTGACCACCCAGTCATTGGTTCAAACTAGGATGGACTAATCAGGTCACAGCTCTCCTAATCCAATCATTTTATCTCCAAATATTCCTGCATTAACAAGAGCTTTTGGGGATACCAGTAGACTATTTTGATAATGGTGTCCTCCTAGATACATTCAGTTCAATGAAGACCTGAATTTATGTCCTAGCTCCACTACTAGATTGTGATTGTCCATGTCTTATTTTTGCTAGCAGCTAAGTAACTTTGAACAAACATCTTGGTGCCTCTGGTTCTATCTATCATCATCTTTGCTATGTAAATAATATGTCACAGGTGAATGTCAGGCAACATGATTATTTGAAAGTTCCTTGATAGCTGTCATTCATTATGTAAATTCTGACTGTGAACTATATGGGTGAAGTCCTGTTACTCCTGAGAAATTCAAAATAATCCTGTGTGAAGTAAGCTGCTTTTTGGGATGGATAATAGGGAAGAAAGAGCCTTTTTAAGGTGGACCCCCTGATTTATTCCTCTATTGGTATTTAGACTTAAAGCAGCCTGGAGAGTTTGGGCATCTATCTACAATTGGCAGTGAAGCCCACCTAGCTTTCCTACAACGACCTCCCATCCCTCTGAGCTAGTCCTCATGCCTCATGGGTGGGTAAGGCTCAGCTCTAAGGACAACAGTGTTGGAGGAGACATTGCTAGAGGATATATAAATTCAAGATGGTGTGCAACAGAGAGGAAGAGGCCAGGGTGTGGTGGTAGTGAGTGAATTATTAGGTCATTGCTTCTCAACACTTGATTGCAGTTGTTGGTCAAATTCACCTCTGACACACAGCACCTTACATGGCACTTGTCAAATAAGTCATTCACGAATATTTGTGAAGTTAGTGGGGAAAAAAAGAGGAAATAAGTAGAGGGGAATCCTGATCTCAACCTACACAACATTTCTGCTGTGACAAACCCACTGTGGTAGTGTCGACATGGAGCCATCAATGGGGTACTAAAAAGTTGTGCATCATTAAGATACATTCTAAATACATGGAGTTGAAAGAGTAAGCTTACTAAACAAAAACAAAAACTAGCCATGAATCTAAGTTGCACTGGTTTGCTTTCACTTAGCATGATGGTCTCAGCAAATGCTATAATTTCATTCTTCTTTAAGGCTGAGTAATATTCCATTTTGTATATATACCACATGATATTTATGCATTCATCTGTTGAAGGGCATCTAGGTTGGTTTGTATTCATAGTTTAGCTATTGTGAATTGAGCTTCTATAAACATTGATGTGGCATATCACTATGGTGTGCTGATTTTAAGTCCTTTGGGTATATGCTGAGGAGTGGGATAACCGAGTCAAAAGGAATCTCCATACTGCTTTCCAGAGTGGTCGCACCAGTTTTCAGTTCTACCAGCAATGTATGTATGTACCTTTTTCCCCACATCCTCGACAACATTTATTGTTACTTGTATTCTTAAAAATTGCCATTCTGACTGAAGTGAGATGAAATTTCACTGTAGTTTTAATTTGCATTTCTCTAATTGCTAGTGATGTTGAACATTTTTTCACATATTTTTTGACCATTTGTATTTTTTATTGATTTTAATATTTTTTTAAATACACGACAACAGTGGAATGCATTACAATCCTTATTACACATATAGAGCACAATTTTTCATATCTCTGTATATAAGGTATGTTGACACCCATTTCAAGTCTTCATACACGTACTTTGTATAATGATGTCCATCACATTCCACCATCCTTGCTAATCCCCTGCCCCCTCCCTTTCCCTCCCTCCCCTCTTCCCTATCTAGAATTCATCTAATCCTCCCATGCTCCCCTCCCTACTCCACTATGAGTCACCCCCCTTATATCAGAGAAAACATTCTGCATTTGTTTTTTGGGGATTGGCTGACTTCACTTAACATTATCTTCTGTATTTTTTTATTCTGTGAAGTGCTTATTCCATTCCTTTGCCCATTTATTGATTGGGTTATAGGGGAGATTGGTGTTATGTTTTTTCAGTTCTATGTATATCCTTGGTATTAATGTTCTATCTGAGGTGCAGGTGGTAAAGATTTTCTCCTCCCATTCTGTAGGCTCTCCATGTTCTTGATTATTTCCTTTGCTGTGAAGAAGGTTTTTTTTTGTTTGTTTGTTTTTTTTGATGCCATTCCATTTATTGATTCGTGATTTTACTTCTTGCATTTTAGGAGTCTTATTGAGGAAGTCAGTTCTTGAGCGGACAGGAGCCTTACTTTTTTTTTTCTTTAGACACAATACCTTTATTGTATTTATTTATTTTTACATGTTGCTGAGGATCCAACCCAGGGCCTTGCATGCGCAGGCAATCGCCCTACCCCTGAAACCATAACCCCAGCCCAGGGCCTACTTTTTCTTCTATTAGGCACAGGGTCTCTTGGAGAGATCTCCCATGTTCTTAGATAGACAGAAATAATATTGTCCAAATGGCCATACTACCAAAAGGACTATACAAATTTAATGCAGTTCCTTTAAAAATTCCAATGACATTCTTCATAGAAATAGAAAAAGCAGTTATAAAATTCATTCAGAAAAATAAGAGACTCAGAATTGCCATAGCAATCCTCAGCGAGAAAAGCGAAGCAGGAGGCATCACAACACCAAACCTTAAATTATACGACAGAACTATAGTAACAAAAATAGCATTTGGCACCAAAACAGACATGAAGACCACTAGAACAGAACAGAAGACACAGAGACAACCCCACATAAATACAGTTATCTCATACTGCACAAAGGCACCATTAACATACATTGGAGAAAAGAGCCTCTTTGACAATTGGTGCTGGGGAAACTGGAAATCCATAGGGAGTAGATTGAAATTGAACCCCCATCTCTCCCCCTGCACAAAACTTAACTACTTTTTAAAAGTCCTCATCTACAAATACAGTCACATCTTCGTTACTAGAGATTGGGACTTCAACATGAATTTCGTGGGGAAATGATTTAGCCTACGACTAGAGCCAACAATAGTAAAACAGCCAAATTAGCATTCTTCATTGCATATATTTTGCTAGATATTTTTAAAATTCAGGATAAGATAAATTCTTCATATGTTGAAACTCACAAGGGTCTTCATGTTTATGTCATTTACTTTTTTTTTTTTTTTTTTAATGTTTTAGGTCCTCCTGGCCCCAGAGGTCCAAAAGGTGACCGAGGATCTCAGGGACCCCCTGGTCCAACTGGCAACAAAGGACAGAAAGGAGAGAAGGGGGAGCCTGGTCCACCCGGCCCTGCAGGCGAGAGAGGCCCCATAGGACCGGTTGGTCCCCCGGGAGAGCGTGGTGGCAAAGGCTCCAAAGGCTCACAGGGCCCCAAAGGCTCCCGTGGGTCCCCCGGGAAACCTGGACCTCAGGGACCCAGTGGGGACCCAGGCCCCCCAGGCCCACCAGGCAAGGACGGACTCCCTGGCCCCCAGGGCCCTCCTGGCTTCCAGGGCCTGCAGGGCACTGTGGGAGAACCTGGAGTGCCTGGACCCAGGGGACTGCCGGGATTGCCAGGGGTGCCCGGCATGCCAGGACCCAAGGGCCCTCCTGGCCCCCCAGGCCCATCAGGAGCAGTGGCACCTCTGGCCCTGCAGAATGAGCCAACCCTGGCACCAGAGGCCAACGGTAAGTCTGAGCTTTCCTTTCCAGTGGGGGTTGGGAGGTGAGTGGTGAGTGTGCTCACCCTGGACGAACGCCACACCCCCGCCCCCTCCCACCATGTTATTTACCAGTGAGGCACCATGGAGGCCACACACGGCCCCTGCTGCTCTAACAGGCCCTGGCCCAGGCAGCCCACACACCACACACCACCCAGTTCTCCAGTGCTTGTTTATTTGGAGGAGTGGGGCTCTCAAGAGACCAGCATACCCTGGACACTTCCTTCATGACAGCCCACAGCCAGCCACTCCCTGCCACCCTGTCCTCATTTTAGTCCCTTCAGGCTTGGGACGGACAGTGCCCTTGGTTTACTTCATCAGCACGCGGATGGAATTTCTGTGTTGACGCCCAGATTCCATTTCTTTTTAAGAAGGTGTCATGGAGCCTTCGGGTCCCTTGACAATTCCACCTTTGGCAAACGTGTCATTGGTTAGCATCCAAGCCTGTGAGGCAACCCCCGTTCCACTTGATTTGCTCCAGTGAGACTCCAGTTACCTTTGCTGTTCCAGGAGCCTGGGATGGTTCTGGGTTCTCACATCCAGTTGTTCGGAGGTTCCAGAAGATTCCAGACTGAGGATCTACATCTGCGCCTGCCCTGCTTTCCGTTGTTTCTGTTATTTCTATCACTGTAAAGACTATTCCAGGCACGGAGGAATAAAGAGTCAGTCATAGACGTTCCCAGATTATGTGGTTTTACTACTGTGTGCTCTACGATCCACGTGTGAGGACTAGTCTTTACTCTTAGCTTGACTGTGAACGTCAGCCCTGGGCTCCATGCAGGGGAGCCTTGGGTGGCTCCTGGCTTGTGGGTGAGTGCTCACTCACAAGGGGCTGCAGGTTTGGCCTCATAACCATAGCTGAGAGGCTGGGTGCATTCTATGTGTTTTTATTCAGTGTTTTAATTAAACCTTTGTATTCCCAGGCTGTCCGCCTCACTGGAAAAACTTCACAGACAAATGCTACTATTTTTCGGTGGAGAAAGAAATTTTTGAGGATGCCAAACTTTTCTGTGAAGACAAGTCTTCACATCTCGTTTTCATAAACACAAGAGAGGAGCAGGTATGTTTGCCACACACCTGGTGGGGGAAAGCTGTAATTTAAGGCTATGTTACCTCAGGAAATTGCATGCCTGCTGGGGAGTCCAAAATATCAAGAATTCATAGTCACATAAACATGGAAGGCTCCGTTATGGAGATACTCTATCCAGTGACTAGAAGTATTGGCAGCATTGGAATTCTGTCTTCTTCCTTCCTCTGGCTGGGAGAGAGAGTTTCTGCAGCTCCTCCCAGTGGCTGTTGGGAGAGTCACAGTGCAGAGAAGCTTGAGGTTGTGGAGAAAGAGGCAGAGAACAGAGCACTTGGAGGGCTGGGGGGTGGGAGGCTGTGAGGGACCGGACATTTGGCCCTAGGGGGGTCAGGGAGAGCACAAAAGTCTGAGGAGAAAGTAGGGCCCACGTGTGACAACCACAGCAACCACTTAATAGACCCATACCATGTGCTGGGCACTTACTTGGAAGACATTTTCTTTTTTGAACCTCTTTATAATTTCCCATTTTCTAGAATAGAAAAACAGGCCCAAGGAGGTTTAAATGCTTTATTCATAGTACATCAAGAAAATTCAGACTGGGACTGAGGCCCAATTAGCAACAAGGCCAGAGCTCTTCCTTTGGTACCACCCCATTCCAGTGACCTCTTTCCTTTCCCCCCAGATATTTCTAGCAGACACACCCTAAAAAAATAATAAAAAGAGTTCTCCTATAGTAACTGCTAAGGAAGAGGAGAGCAGCTGAGCGGCTGGGCTTTAGAATAAGCAGACCCGGGCCCCATCCCAGCTCAGCCCTGTCATCTTTGGTAAATAGGACGTGGTAGAGGCTTAAGGACACACTGCACACCACATGGCCATGGGACCTGGCCCAGAGGAAGAGCTTAGTAATGCCACAGCTATTCCCTGTCAGCAGCTCACAGCAGGGATGGGTGACAGAAGGGAAATGAGGCTTCACTCAGAGGATTCTTGGAGTTGTCTGGGTGATCTGGAGGAAGGGCATCCCTTTAATATCATTCGAAAACTTGTGAGAGGAAAAAGTCAAAGCACCCAAAACAGAGCCAAATGAAACAAGCACAACGGAAAGAAGGCAACAGAAGCCACTGTACATTTTGACAAATGTCCTCTTTAAATTGTCCCTTTTCCCATATGTTAAGCCAAAAAAAAAATTCCCTCAGACACCTGTGCCAAGAAATCATAGTGCATCTGCACTAATTTATTTTTCAGCAATGGATAAAAAAGCAGATTGTGGGGAGAGACAGCCACTGGATCGGCCTCACAGACTCTGAACAGGAAAATGAATGGAAATGGCTGGATGGGAAGCCTCTGGACTACAAGTGAGTGCTCGGGAACGTCCCGTTGGTGGTCAGATGCACACGGTTCTGTGTGTCCACCTCTGGCCCATCTTCCTGAAGTTTCTTTCTTTCTGATCTTATATTCTAGCCCTCCTCCCCAAGGCAGGCTCCTGGTACCCGGTGTGTATTTCTGCGAGGGCAACTGTGGTTGACACTTGCTATGCCATTGAGTAGGGTTTTCCCCTTTTCTTTTAATGGAGTGAAGTTATTTTTTTTTTCTTCATTTCTAAGACCAAAATCACGAGACTTATAAAAACTTATAAAAGTACCACAGTATGGTACTTCTGGCCAATGTGTGTGTGTGTGTGTGTGTGTGTGTGTGTTTGTTTAAATGCTTTCAGGAGGTTAATGAATCCCAGCAACCTCAGGCACATTCAGTGTTGATCCCAGATATGTTTCTGAGGACTGGGGACTCCCTTCAGGATGTTGCTGGCCTCCAGGAGGCTACTGACCAGAGTGAGATTATAAACTACAAGATCTTGATGCTTCTACACATGGGAAACTTATATGCACCACAAAGTTGCATCATAGCACCATCATCTCCTAAAGGTTGGAAGTTTCCTGTACATCCCAGGTGGCCTGAGTTCTACAAAAGCAGCACAAAGAATGGAAGCACTTTGCAGTACCTTCTCACATCTCCCAGTTGGAAGGAAGATTCCAGAGTCACCTCTTACCCAGGGGTGTCAGCTCCCTCCCTAATCCTAGCCAGGGATCTAAGGATGACTAAATTCTACAAATTTGAATTTCACTTCTCCCTACTCTGACCTTGCCTCTTCTAGATGAGGAAATATGTGACAAACTGTTCCCAGTGGGGCAGAACTTATAAAAATCCACCTCTGAGAACCATTAGTTTGATGAAAGCAGAGAAGCCAGGCTCTGCAGAGGCTCCAGCAGGCCCTGGATCTCACCATAGAGAGAGTGTCTGAGAACAGCAAAGTCCCTGGGGCTGTTCTAGGCCAGGAGAGGAGAAGACAAGAGTGTTCTGGGTTTAAAAGTGTCCCAGGTATCCAGGCAGCCCTGTATTAGAGAAGTGGCAGTGGGCTCAGAGTTGATGGAGAAACCATGTAGAGTTTTAAAAATGCCTCTGCATGCATATGAGCATGCACATGGGTAGACAGGTGGCTTTGTACTTTTAAATCCTCCACATGAAGTACATGACTACAGAATATAGGTGGAAACCAGAATCGGGTCATCTCCTAGAAGAAGAAAGAGACCAATTATTAAAGTAGAGCATTTGAAGAGTTTAGATCTGCCCTGTAGGTGAGCCTCATACTACTCACTAAGGCCAGTGGATATCTGCCTGTTGGCCCGTCCGATTCTCTGTCTGCTCTTCTGCACCTGCCCTTCGGGGGGAGGAAGCTGTGCCCTGGCACACTCTGGCACTCCAGAATTCCCTGACACCCCAACAGGAGCACTCAGAATAGCAGGGATGCGCTTCAAGAGACTTAAAACAGTTTGGGTGTTGACGTCTAAAACAGGAGCTATGGAGGTTTGCAGGTGGGAACGGGAAGCAAAGATTATTAGCGGAAAAGACAAATCTATTTTTTTTGAGAGCCGAGAGCCAGGATATTTTAAAAGAATTGAAGGGAGCTAAGGAAAAAAATCCATCTTCTGCACTTTTCTCACTAGCATGAATGGAAAAAAGGTCTGGGTTAGACTCACTAAGAAATTCAATCTTAAGCCTTCCTCCAAGAAAAAACTGAATTGGCCCATATGGAATGGATTGAGCTGGAATGGTACTGTCCTTGCCAGCTCTCCCAAGGTGAAACTCGGCTCCTTTTCCCTGGTATCCAGCAAGACTTATGTGATTTGGGTGGAGAGTGCCCATATTAATACCTGGTCCCTGAGAAGGATTACATCACCAGACACCTTACTAGGAACTTGTCCTCAGCCACAGCCACTCTGGAGCCTTCTGCTAGCTCCGGCTCCTGCGCCCCAGCCACAGCACAGACTCTATGTCTCATTTTCCACCCAAAGGAATACATACACATGTATAAATCCCCAGGATCAAATTCTAAAAGCAAGAATAAATTAGGCAGACATCGTATGAGGTCTCAATAACTGAAGGCTAATTTAATTTGACATATCATAATAAACACTGCACAGGCTAGAGAAACAGGCAGTGTAGTCAAGGAGAGGAGAAGGAGCACATGTGTTGGAATTAAGCGAGATCTGGGTTCCAGACTCTCAACCTGATGTCTCAAGGTCCTCTGGGAGTTACTCAACCATGCAACATCTCAACATCCCCAGGTATAACTTGAGTTTGACAAAATATCTGTGCCAGTATTTTGAAAATTCAGTGATATATATATATATATATATATACACACACATATACATACATACACACACACATATATACATATATATACATATATATAGGCATAAATAATATGTAAATATATATCACATATTTGAATACATGAATTTCTTAGTGAATCTACCACAGGCCTTGTTTTGCCTTTAAGGCAGTGAGGAAAGTAGAAGAGATGGATTTTGTTTCTTAGCTCCCTTCAACTCCCTGTAAAAAGATCCTGGCTTTCTTTGATTGACAGAGAAATAACTTAGTCATTTCCTTTAATCTCTGCCTCCCATTCCCATATCCAACCCTCCACTGCTCCTGTTTTCAATGCCACCACCTAATAATAATAATAATAAATATAATCATGTATGTATATATGTATATATATATATGTGTGTGTGCATATAATATGTACACACATATATATGGTATTTAGTACAATGCTTGCAATGGGGGACTTGAGAAATATTACCTGCAAGTATTGGTACTATTATTACTATTATCATCATAATCAATATGTTATCATAGTTTGCAATAATCGATATGTCATCATAGTGGAGTACTACTGTCTGCAATTTCTATATTGTACAATGTCCTGACTGAGATGCCACACAGAGTATCTCATGCAAGTCTTATGAGAGGTGTGTAAAGAAGACAAGAAGAGAACAATTTCCTGTCATGGTATCAGCACAGAGACTGGGCTTCCCCAGTATCCTGTCCCCAGATGCTTCTTCATCTATTCAGGTCCAGCTTTAGCCTCCTCCTCTCTGTTTCTGAGGGCTCCAAGCAGAGAGCCATGTATCTCCCTTTCTCTCGCCACCAGCAGTCATTTCAGGGTCTAGAGATCACAAGAGATTATTATGAACTATTATACACCAACAACTCAGATGACTTAGAAGAGCAAAGACATTTCTAGAAATGTACAACCTATCAAGAATGAATCAAGATGAAATAGAAAGCCTGAAGAAACCAGTAACAAACAAATAAGGAAACTGAAGTAGTCATGAAAAACCTCCCAAGAAAGAAAAGCCCAGAGGCTTCACAGCTGAATTCTACTCAACATTCAACAAGGATTAATACCCGTCCTCTTCAACTCCTCCCCAAACCAGAAGGAGACAGCCCTGGCACCATCGCTCCAGGCCTTGCTCAAGCCACAAAAGAATTAAGTGCCTTAGCTTCCCTCTTACCCTTTTCCCAACACACACACGGCCCTTCTGAAACTGTTTAAGGGTTTTGTGGTTATTGTTAAAGAGGAAATAGTCAAGGAATAAAAGACTCTCTCCTCAGCCTCTAAGCCTCACTGTGCTGTGCCTGCTGAGACCTGCTGGAGAGGAGCTACTGGAACAGACAGATGAAAAGCAACACTGATGTGAACTAGATGCCAAAAGCTCGGGGAACCGACAGACCTGTATTCGGGTTTATAGCCCATAAACAGTAAAGCCTGACTCACCACATCTTACACTAGTTCTGCACTGGAGCAGGACCAGCAGGGGAAAAGGACCTCATGAGATGCACTCTGCCATAGCTTGGGACAGTGCTCAGGCACACCAGTGCCATTTCGGCACAAAGATTGACCGATGACATAGAGTGACAAATTTCTTTTGCCTATGAAGGACCTGGTTTTGTTTTGTTTTGCTTTAAATAACCTATCAACAAATCATAGCATTAAAAATAAATAGTAAATCTACCCTCCTTTCCAAAAAAAGAGACAGTTGGACGTCTTACAGTCACACACATGTCAACACACAGTCCTGTTTTTCTCATTTCACTGCGAACCTGTGAAAACTTGATTCCTGGCCAGCACCTGCCCCCTGACTGGAGATCGGGGGGCTATTCATAGTCCTGAAATAACATTTGATGAATTATCCTGAAGTGTCCATTGTGAACAGCCTGTGTGCTAGCCTGTGGGGTCTTTTTGGAATATGGAGGCAACAGTGTGGGTAAGAGGTGTTATCTTTGTTCTCAGGTAGAAAAGATGGATTTTCAGGCTGTGTCATAATAAAGGGGATATAACCCTAAAAGGGGATATAGCAGGACTTTGAAGGAGATTTCAGCATTATCTTCTCAGGAAATGACAGAACAGGTAGATAGAAAATTAGTATGGATATAGTAGACATGATCAACTAACTTGAACTAATTAACATCCATAAGACATTTCACCCAACAGCTACAAATACTTTCTTTGCAAGTGCATGTGGTATGTTCACCAAGATCAACTATATGCAAGCCCATAAAACAAGTCTCAATAATTTTAAGAGAAACTGAAATTACATAGAATGTGTTCTCTGTCTAAAATGATTAAATTCAAAATTGATAACAGAAAGATCATCTATAAAATTCAAAATGTTGGGAAATTAAATGAAACATTTCTAAGTAAACCACAGATCAAGGAAAAAATCACAAAGGAAACAGGAATGTTTTAAAAAATGAGACTACAACATGTCAAAAATTTGTGGTACGCAGCTACAACAGTGTTTAGAGGGCCATTCATATACCCTTAAAATATGTACATTGGAAACATTTTTTAAAGGTTGAATATCAAAGATCTAAGCTTCCACTTTACTAGGGTAGAAAAATAAGAGCAAATTAATCCCTAAATAAGGAACACAAGGTCCTTGAGTTCAATCCCAGCACCACACATATACACAAGATAAACAGAAGGAAAGAAACAGTCAATACCAAAAAAAGCACTGAAATAAAAAACAAACAAAAGAAAGGATCAGTGAAAGTCGGAGCATATCAACGCCAATATTTCTACTCTTCATGGAGTAAGTGTAGGTATACCACTTGGTAGCTTGTCATTGTTAATGAAGGCTGTCTGTACCGGGCAGAACTGGATATGTATAGGACTTAGGGTCTGCCCACCTGCTCAGGGCAATAAATCTTGCCCTAATGTGCTTATAGTTGCTCACCTGAAATCACCAGAGATGTGAGAGTCTTCCTAGAGCTTTCCCCAAACACTTTATAATCTCCTCTTCCCCTCCATCTCTTCTGTTCTGTCCATCTGGAGATCATCTGTCAAGTTTTGAATAACAGTTTTCATCTTTATCTCACAAAGATCAGACATGGGTTGCCTTTCCGTCCATGCAGACAGCTCCATAGCACATTATATGTTGTGCTTTTACAATATAGAACCACAGGAAGGCAGGGACCAGAAGGGAATCTTCAGTGTCCTCTAGTTCAATAATAGCCCACGCCAGTCCACACTTCCCATTTCTGCCAGAGTGTGACTGGCTGAGGCTACAAGAGAGGAATCCTCCACGTCTCCCTTGTGTTGGGAGAACATTCCACTGCAGAGAAACGTTTCTCATCACTAACTATTTTCTGTTCTGAGGCCAGGTCCTTACCAGCAGAGGTTTCTTGGCCATGTGGCCTCAATCTTGTGGTTGATGAGAAAGTCGTAAGTTGTGAGGTTGGGAGGAACTCTTCCCAAGACTGGGAACATGTTTTCTGCCTACATTAGAATGACCCCCAAATCGGGGGTGCTCGGTACCACTAGCTAATGTGTTTATGTATTTCCAGCTCAGTGGAGATGCCAGTCTAGTTGTTTCCAAGGTCCCTGGTGTATTTGGAAGTACATGTGTTGCTCCCTAGTGACCTCTGTGATGTGTGTGTGTGTGTGTGTGTGTTGTAATAGGGGACTCAGGGATTTTCAGCACAGGCTTCAGTCTTTCTTCTTTCCAGAATCTTTCCAGGGTAAGGTGCTATTTAAGCTGACATTCTTTTGCAAAATATATACATTCTGTTTATCTGGCATGTTCTGTTCCATTGTATTGTAAGCACACAGACCTTGGGGTTTTACTACAAGTCACTCCATGGGATTTTAGCTATTTCAGAGAGATGCTCTGAGACTTTGAGTACTCAATTTACAAGATGAATTGCCCCTGCCACTGGCTTCTGGTTGCCCACCTCCCACCCGTGCTGGCTAGGCTTTTAGTCCTAAGAAAATCCTTGAGCTCTGTATGTGAAGAATTCCAGTGACCTAGAAAGCCAAAAGGAGAACAGTGATAAAGCCATCTCCTTATCACTTGGTTATCTTCCAGTCTAGTCTGTGATCTTCTTTTATCTACTTAGCTTGCCATGACTTAAAAGAAAATGCAATATAAAACAGGTCTTCTAAACACAAAGAAGCCATATGTATAGTTTGCCAATTAACAGAGAAATCGAGAATATCAAATGTTCCACTCAGGAATTGTAGAGCTCCAGTTTTCTAAGTAAAATTAGAATCAGCATCCCTTCATGTTACTGGCAGAAATGAATAAAATGTACATGAACAAGATCAAAACTACTCGAGCATGATTGACACTTCCAAGGGTGTCCTGCAAGGTGTACAGAACTGCACACGCGCGCACACACATACAGTAAACTGTTTTTTCCTTCCCACCTTCATCTGTGTCTGGCATCACAGTGATCACCTGAGATTCTGAATTGTTATATAAGTTCCTTGAGAGCTGGGACTTTGTGCTCTGCAATGCTTTGTTGCTATCACCAGCACGTAGTAGGTGCTTTATGGGTATGGAGTGAGTTTTCTAATTCTCCCTAAGCATCATTCCATTTTTTTTATTCTCATCAACCATCAGTTGATGGTTTCCTCTAAATTATCTGCATCATTAGATTTATTTCATTGACATCATTTTATTTTTTAAAATCCCAAGACACATATTTGGGCCTGAGGATGTCAGTCGCTTTCCCACCCATTGACAATAAACTTCACCTGTCCTTTCCTACTGCCCTCTGGTTTTGGGGTCATACTGTCAAAAGCTATAGGGTATACAGGATAACCTCTGGCTGATGGGTAGTGATGTGAAGAACCTGCTGCAAGTGTTCTTCCAGACCCACCATGTGAAGCCAGCTTGTCCTCTTGGGCAAAAACCACAAGCGTCTGTGTGTGAACCTGCACCTTTGGGAAAAAAAAAAAAAAGTTCACCTTCAAGAATGGAGTGTGGAAGCATAGCTAATATACTGCACAAAAACAGAATCAAGAACTGTTAGCTCTGGCAAAGTGATTCTTTGAGGAACAGCTTCCAAGGTAACAAGCCCCAAGTGAACTCATCCTAAAGAGAACTTGTTCTGAAGAATCTTGCCTCCACCAGCACAGCCAAACTAGCAGGTTGCAGAGAGGAAGAAATAAAAAGTCAATACACGCAGATCTTGAAGATAAAACATCTGGGGTCCGGTGGAGCGCTGCTCTCTAATGGAGAAGCAGGTCTAAAGAATTACACCAGCAATCTTTATTATATATGTCTCTAAATCAGATTAAAGACTATGCAAGCATTATTCTTTGTATTCATGAAAGTTACAGAGTTAGCAACAGTATGCAGCTGTTTCCTCAGTTACATTCTACAGTTGCAATGTGCAATGTTAGGAGCATTGTGCAGCTCTCAAGAAAGTCCATTGTTTAAAGTTACTAATTCGTGGGCAGATTCAGGAGCAGCGGAACTGGTGAACATTGTGGTTATCTTAGCAAGGAAGTTCCTTCTTTCCCAGGAGCTGCTGTGCCTTCGAATAAGGTCAAAGCTGATAAGACTCTAGCGTGGAGGACATCGCCATAGCAACTGGGTATCCTATGCCTTTGCACAGAAACTTTCCCAGTCACCAAGTATGCCATAGCCATGAAGTCTTCAGGGACCCCCAATCTGCAACACTAGTCTCCCAGTCACTGTCACTGCTCTCCACAGAATCTCTCTCCCCCCAAAAAGAACAGTGAAATATGCAAATCATTTTCAGTGGGGTTAAATTACTATTTCTTTCAAAAGGAATCAACCATCCACATCTAGCCGGAAAATCGTTACCAGTCGTTTGTCACTGTAGGTTCTTGTGAATGCATATCAAGGGTCTCTCTTCCTTGATGCTTTAACATGTGAGGGAAACAGTATCCATGTGTACAAGCATCCTTCTGAGTTCTCACAAGCAAGCATGCGTGTGAGACAGAGCATGGGTACGTGCACATCTGCATACCCACATCCCCAGAGGTCAGCATTCCAATACACATTAGGAAGCCATTCATCTCATTGTGTCACAAAAGGAGTCACTCCCTCAGCATTGTGAAGAAGCTCCATGAGTTGATTTCATCATGGCAAAGATAACAAGCCTGCAGGGCTTGCCATGCATTACCCATGGCCCTGCAGAACAGCTGCTTCTGATTCTGAATAGAGTATGCCCTGCTTTCAAACAGCGCCATTTCATTCCAGGACAAATGATATGCTTCAGGTTTTTTTTTTTTGGGGGGGGGGGGTTGGATTTTTGGGTTTTGGTTTTTTTAACATTCCTCTGCTGCTAGGAAGCAAAGCAAACCTCTGTATTACTATGCAAATAACACTCCGTTTCTGTTTCTTTAAAAGAAATTGGAAAGCTGGACAGCCAGATAACTGGGGTCATGGCCATGGGCCAGGAGAAGACTGTGCCGGGTTGATTTATGCTGGACAGTGGAATGATTTCCAGTGTGAAGACATCAATAACTTCATTTGCGAGAAAGACAGGGAGACAGGTAAGCAGTGGATGGGATTTGTGAGGACACTGCAGAGCTCATGTCCTGTTTCAGGGACAGAGGTAGTGAGGGGAAGGACTCCAAATGCAGGCTCTTCAGTTAGGTTTTTGACCTGGTTCTGCTGCTAACAGTGGGTTAGATTATTAATCTTCAGGGAATAATAATAGGATCTTGTTCATTGGGTTGTTGTTAGGATTTACAGAAGGTAATAAATGTGCCAGATATATAGGAAGTACTCAATAAATGTCAGACCAACTGGCCCAGGTCAATAGCTTATAATATTGTCACTTAACTGTTCTTTAATAGGGCACCAGTGTCACATCTGGATTGCGTACACATCCATCCATGTTAGACAACCAGTCAATTCCATGTATATTTATTGAGCATCTACTATAAGCCAGATGTTGTGCTACATAATGGAGGGATAGTGGTGCATCCCTTACAAAAGGTCATAAGCCAAAGAGGCCTTTGGAGATTTTCTTGACTTCAAAAGATACTTATCTAAAGCTTCATTTAATATGTTACCCTCTTCAGAATGGGGCATCAGTCAGGTATGGTGATTCACATCTATAATCCCAGCTACTTTGGAGACTGAGGCAAGAAGATCAAATGTTCCAGGCAAGCCTCAGCAACTTAGCAAAACCCAAGATCATCTAAGAATGAAAATCTTGGTTTTCTTTTCTTTTCTTTTATTGTACTGGAAATTGAACTCAGCATTGCTAAACCAATGAGCTACATCCCCAGTCCTTTTTAATTTTTCTTTTGAAATGGGGATCTCACTAAATTTCTGAGGCTGGCCTCAAGCTTGTAATCCTTCTGCCTCAGCCTCCCAAGTTACTGGGATTACAGAAGTGTGCCACTGTGCCCAGTTTCTTAGTTTTGTTCATCAGAACTATATTTTGTGGTGGGAGATCAAGGAAATGAGGAAGGAATGCTAATAAGTGTGGGATTTCTTTGGGGAATAATGAAAATATTTTCTACTAAGATTTGACTTTTTCTAATAGGAACAAATTTGTGAAAAACACTGAATTATAACACTTTAAATGGGTGAATTGTATGATGCATGAATTATATTTCAATAAAGCTGATATTTTTCAAAGTGGTTGACAAAACCCTCAGGTATATTTTGTTTTGATTAGTTTTGGGGTTCAAATTATCCATATAACCACTTAACAGTCCATTACTGGATACTTTCCATGTGTCAAATATTGTTCCCAGTGCTAGGGATCACGAAATACATAAGGAAGTACACCCTGGTAAATTGAGGGGAGAAACGTGAATATTTAAACGAGAGATTACAGTCAATGCCGACAATCCAGATTTGTAATTTGTGTAACTTATTTGGCCTTTTGAGATTTGAGGAAGGGTTGGGCTTCCCCCAGAATAGATCCCTTCAAAACAAAAGGGCCTGGGGATGTGGCTCAGTGGTAGAGCACTTGCCTAGCATGTATCAGGCCCTGGGTTTGATTCCCAGTAGTGTAATAAAAGAAAAGAAATTTAGCATTGACTTAATTTCTAGACTTTTTTTTTTAAAATAGAATGTTAAATGATGTGTTTTAGGATCTTTCCTAAAGGTTTCTCCTTTAGGAAACATTAGCTTTATTCTATAAGCAAAACTAATGTCCATCCTTATTTTTCTCTTCTAGTACTATCATCCGCATTATAATGGACTGTGATGTAATAACATGAACACATTTCCAGACAGTTTCTCAAAGGCAAAGGATGCTCCTTTCTGATTTCATCACCTTCTCACCAAGTTGGGGAAGAGAAGCACTGAAAGCTAAGTACTGAAGAAAATTGACAACTAGTGTTTGCCATTACCCAAGGACTTGGGTACAAAAATGTTCCCCCAGTATGAGATGTCAATTTTCAGTGTGCAGATGGACTGAATTACACAGATTTTTCTCAGCCAATAACCATACATTTATACAAATGTTACCTTCCAACATGGAATGTTCCAATCAGAAAGACCATCATTGGTTGCCAAGCTACGGGAAGAACTTAAACTTACACTGTGTGAACAGTACCTTACATTTCTAAAATCCCAAATGTAGGAAAAATACACAGACATACAGATATATAGACCAACTCTTAGTAATAATATGAAATATACTTAAAGAGCTTTTAAAACTTTGTATTTTTGTACAAAATATTTTGCCTTTTACAATTATTTTCCCTTTTATTGGCATTTTACCAATATAATACATGGAGCCAAAGAAAACAATAATGGTACTAATAAAACATCCTAGTTTTTTTGTCAGATTTAATTCTACCTGATGGCAAATAATTTTTTTTTCAGTTGTGGTTTAAAAATATAATTAAATATATGTGTATATATATATTTTTTAATGTATCATTTTTTCAGAACAGTGAATCTCTTGAAGTTTCTAGAAATATCCTTGCAGGTTTTTCTGGTGTAAATCAAGCCTGAGCACATACATGGCTCAGTCAAGCAGGCTCTGTCTTCAGCCCATCACCTGTCACCACCTTCGATGTGTGTCTGGCCAGCCCCAGAGGAAGTGGTCAATTTCTAATGTGCTTTGGCTTCATGTTGGTGGAGCAGGGGTGATGGAGAGGCATCTGCAGGGTAGGGAAGAGCCCCAGATCTGGATGTCTGGAAGGCCCTGTTTTATGGCTGATGTGGGAATACACATGGTATCAGGCCCACCCCAGAGCTGATACTCAACTGTCGAGAGAGTATGGTGTCACATCAGCCAAAGGCAGAGATACTGGAAAGATGGAACCCGTTATATGCTACCTGGAACACTTGTCTGTCTTGAAGTCAGATTCCAAAAAACAATTCCAAGGCACATGCACGAGGAAATACAAAAATAAACTTCTGGCCTCCATCTTGAACTTTTACAAAGAACTTTTCCTCCAAAACCATCTTCCTTCCACTCCTTGACCTGCCTTTGAAAAGTCTACCATGAAAAGTGCTGAAATAGGGCACTGAGTATAACTGTTCTCAGAGGGAAGATTCTATCCAACAGATTCCCTCTCCCCACTCCCAGGGGTCTTCCCAGCAGTGCTGCTACCTAACCCAAATAAAATGGCGAAAGAATAAACAGTTTGACTTTCACACCTGCACCTGTGTTGCTTTGTCTCTGATCCCCATTTGTGCCACTTCACAGCTGGGAAAGACCATCTCCAGGCAAATTTATGCTCTGATATCCTGTCCAGATGACCTGGTCAGGCTTTCAGGACACTGTCTCATGAGCTTAAATTGTAGGAGCTTGTGACATGAGGCAGACACTGGGCTCCAAGACCTCTTCAGACTCAAGAACCTTTTTTTTTTTTTTAGAAATATGGAAAAATTTTATTTCTGGAAATAGGAATGTGAACACTTTGGTCTTTAAGTGCCAGGCAATTTTATGTTAATACAAAAGAACAAATAGAATTAGCCAATTTTTTAGAATCATTCATTCAACAGGATTCTGCTAGATGCTGAGGATACACTGGATAATGGATAATGATGAGTCAGTCATTTGTCTCTCAGCCTCATACCAGTCTTCTCTACCCTGAGGCTGTGAAACATCTTTCCCAGGACTGCCAAATGAAAAGAACTAGAAATTAAAAGTGGGGAGCATGTTGAAAAGTTATCTTTGTTTTTATTTATTTTTCCTGAGGCACTGGGGATTGAAACCAGGACTTTGAGTATGCTAGGAAAGAGCTTTACTACAGAATTATATCCTGGGACACTGGTCCTTTTCAGCCTTCAGACTCAAACTGAAACTTTAGTTTTCAGACTGGAACTCACACCACTGGCTTATTCACCTGAGTCTCCAATTTGTTACAATAAACATACACAATTAGATACACACATACATGTATTCTGTTTCTCTGCAGATCCTAATGTATATCTAGGAAGTTTGGAAATCATGCAATGCATTTTTCCCCCCTGATACTGGCAATCAGACCCAAGGGTACTTTATCACTAAGCTACATCTCTACCCCTTTTCATTTTTTTTAAATTTATTTCTTACATACATGACAATAGTGGAATGCATTACATTCATAATTATCCATTCACGGCACAGTTTTTCATAACTCTATATAAAGTATGTTCATGCCAAATTATGCCATTATACATGAGCTCTCTTACTTTTTGCATTATAATTCTTAATACACCTTTATACCACATTTTATCATATCTCAGTGACTCAAAGTGGGGTAGGGAGGGAGGGCATGGGAGGAAGATTACCTCTAGATAGGGAATAGGGGTGGGAGGGAAAGGGAGGGAGAAAGGGAATACAAGGATGGTGGAAGGAGACAGTCATCATTATACAAAATACATGTATGAAGATGTGAATTTGGTGTCAACATACCTTATATACAAACAGATATGATCAAGAACCGTTTTAGATTAAACTCAGTCCTCTTTTTTTGAATGCTACTCCTATTTTTCAAATGTTAATTAAGTTTTTTCTTCGGAAGAGGGCATGAGGCCCTGGGTTTGATCTCTAGTCCTACAAAAGAGAAAGAGAAAAGTTGGAATTAACTATCTGATGCCATCACCAAAATAGAGTCATGCCAGCTTCCACAGCTGCAGTTATTCCTCTCCCAGTTTAATAATGACTTACCGAGTGCTTAGTATTTGTCAGGCACTGTACCATAGGCCTCGATCAATCACTGTGTCCCCTAATCCTCCCGACAGCCTCATGAAGTGGCCCTGTTAACACGCCCCATTTCACAGGCACCGGGGCTCCATGTGGGGACATGGTTTGCTAGGTCACACCATCATCACTGTGCACAGTAAAAGACCAAAAAAAAAAAAAAAAAAAAAAAAAGAACCCCACCAAAAAAAAATAAGATTAAAAAAAATAAAAAATAAATGGCTCCTGAAAAATGCAAGCAGGGCTGGGGTTGTGGTTTAATGGGAGAGCACTTAGCTCACATGTATGAGGCACTGGGTTTGATTCTCAGCATCACATATAAGTAAATGAATAAAATAAAGGTCCATCAACAACTAAAAAAAATTTTTTTTTAAAAAGATGCAAACATTATCAAGACAAAAAAGAAACAAACAAACAAAAAACACCACTTTCTTCTCTTTGATGATCATTGCTCATCAGCTCCCCACCTCCGATCCTTCCAGTGGGTAGCAGTTAGGGTTTATGCTGAAGCACACAAATAGTAGTAGCTGCTCCTATGAGAAACAACAACAAATGTTTAAGAAGTGGGTAGATGGAAACTGGCTAACTACACCAGGCTTGCAAAATATGCTCAGACTGGTTTTGAATTCCTGGCCTCAAGTGATCCTCCTGCCTCAGCCTCCATAGTATCCGGAACTATATGCATTGCACCACTGTGCCTTAATTATCCATTCTTATGTCCCCAAATACAAGTCTATCCTCCCCTCCTCCCCTGCTAAAGACCTGAAGAATCCCAGTTCCCTGAAAATGCACAGGCAGGGATAATGAGTCCATGGGTTCCCAAGTCCTTCTGTGCCTTCCTCTCCAGCCAACCCTGCAGCTGCAGCCAACCCTCCTCTACCACATACTAGACTGTCACACCATGCTATCTGCACCTTCCACCATATTCTATCTTACCTCTGTGGTCTACCTGGAATCTCCTGCCTTTTATACCTGGAAAGTACCAGCTTCAAGACTTGGTTCAAGGATCACCTTTTTGTGGGAATCCTTTCCCAACAAGCTTGCCCTGAAGGAAGGATAGATTCTTCCCTCCTTCCAAAGGGTTGTGCCAAATGCTCTGAGAAACTCCTTCCCTTGATGAGACGACCTTCAGATTAGTTGAAAGGCTTGAAAGTTAACTGAACTAGGAAAAAAGTGCATGTTGCTGATCAGTTATGAAATCTTAAAAGAACTGAAGGAGAGAAATCAAGCAAGAGAAATAAAGAAATTCATGCTCTAACGATTGGTTTTCTGTATATCAAGCATGTAAGTCATTCCTCAGTGTCCATGGAGGATTGGTTCCCAGAACTCTGCAGATACCAGTCTCCGAGGATGCCCAAGTTCCTTACATGAAATGATGTAGGATTTTCCCATGCTCCCATATACTTTAAATCATCTCTAGATTACTTATAATACCTAATGTAAATGCTATACATATTTGTTATGCTTTATTGTTTAGAGGATAATTTTTCTTAAAAAAATGTACATGTTCAATATAGACATAATTTCTTTATCTTGAATATTTCAATCCACAATTGGTTGGTTGAATCCACAGAAGTGGAACCTGGATACTGAGGGCAGACTACATCAAAATGAATGGAAAACTCCAGGCTGGGGTTGTGGCTCAGTGGTAGGGTGCTCGCCTAGTGTAGGTGAGGCACTAGGTTCGATCCTCAGCACCACATAAAAATAAGGGCATTAAGTCCACCTATGACTAAAAAAATTGTTTTTAAAAAATGAATAGAAAACAATAAAAATAATCATATGATGTACCAGATTCATACTCCTTACCAAAAATACAGTCTGGAGTCAAGGAAAAGCTTTAGAACCCTAGTATAGTTATTATCATTGCTATCTCCTCCTCCTCCTCCTCCTCATCCTCCCCACCCTCCTCATCCTTTTTTCCTGGTTCTTTTTAGTTATACATGACACTGGAATTCATTTTGATGTAATTTACAAGTGTGGAATATATCTTATTCTCATTGGGACTCCATTCTTATGGATGTACATCATAGTGGGATTCACTATGGTGTGTTCATATATGTACATAGGAAAACCACTGTCTTTCTTTTTCCTATTCCCCCTTCCTTCCCTCATTCCCCTTTGTCTAACCTACTGAATATCTATTCTTCCCCTCTCCCACTTTTTTTTGGGCTAGCTTCCACATATAGTATGATGGGATATCTCATTTCTTACCATCATACTCAACATCTTTAAAGTACAGGCAAACTTTCCATTCTTTCTAAGAAGCTATTTCTCCATACAATTATTTCGTCTTCCTGGGAAGAATCCCTTAATGGTGTGGCATCATATTTATTTTCTAAATCACAAAGCTGATGGTGTCATCCACCGTGCTCCTCCCCTACAGACCCTTGTTCCAATTGGTCTGGGCTTGCCTAGGTTACACCAGATGGAAAGCAGGCTTAAAGAAACCAACTCTAATTCCCAGAGGTTTCCCCTGGACTTTGCTTTTGCCAGTCAATGAGGGTATGAATGGATCTCCCAATCCAGCCCAGCCTGCCATAGCCAGGATTAGATCCCAGCCTCCATTTCCTCCATTTTCCTTATTAGCCTCAAGTTTGCAAAGCAGAGATCACTGCAATTTGGGTGGCGTCGGCTGCCAGGGTTGCGGCTTTTTCCA